AATCTGAAGGCCAGCATGAAGCTATTGTCTTTGAAGAACTTATAAGTTGTTAATTTTTTTTTGTTCTGTTGTGGCAAGTTGCCTCAGGTAGCTCAAAAAACAGACAACGAAGAAATTAAATGTCACTGATATTAATGACTCTGCATTTTCAAACAGAAAGCACAACAAAATGAATCGAACGAGAGAAGGGAAGGAGAGGAGAAGGAGAAAGAGAAGGTAGGAGAGGAGCAAAAATTAGAGGATAACGATGTAAGTTTTTCTTGAATGAAGATTGTTGTGCATTTGATGTTAGCCTTCCTGCACGAGTGGTTCCTTTTAATTCACTTCCTTAGTTTCAGTCATTGTGGTAGGTTAAAAAATAGATAAAATAGACCTTAAAACGGTTTTCTTCAATTGTAACAACATTCCATATGCTACATTAAGTACAATAATTATTTTTCCTGAAACGATTTTGTAGACTGAAGAGAAAGATGCAAGGTCTGCAAGGAGAGCAAGGGTGAACGAAGAGCCGGTGTCGGGAAATGTGATTCGGGTCAGGTCCCGAAACGGGACACAGGAAAGGAGATTTCAAACGGGAGCTCATTTCCAGGTGAGAAGCCGCAGTAACTAAAATTGCCTTAGTTGTATACATGTAGTTGTAGTAACATGGGAGTTTATGGCCCATGTTTTCATGTGAAAATAATCGGTTGTCTTGCGTGTCGACATTCATTTTTATGGAAACGTTCAGTTTAAGTTTTACTAACGTTGACCAGTCTATACAGGAGCAACCTCATTACCAAGCTAAGTTATTCACCTTGTTCCTCATGTTGCACAACCGTCTTTATTCTGTATGTTACAGGAGGTCTACGACTGGGCCGGGGCAGATGAATCCTTCCCGCCCTATTTCACCCTGCATAGGGGCAGTGTGATGGTTTCTCACGAAGAAACAGTGCAAATGGATGAAACTTTAGATGTCACAGAGAGAGTAAGTAGACAATGTGATTTGCTCAGCTTTAAAGTGGACAATTTTTAAAATTTGACCAGAAGCCATAATCGGGGACGGAGACCTTCCCCGATTGTGGCTCCTGATTTGACACAACAATCTAGATATGCTTGATAGTCACAATACTGAAAGTTAGCCTACCCATCCTCGCATACCGGGCGCAGCTAGTAAGGCTTTACGACATTTCCCGGCGAGGCTATAGTCTAGAAAAGTCTAGAGAAACCCAGACAGTCGATCCTCGCGAACGACCTCCCAAAATGTCAAGTCTGGGTGGCCGCTGACGGGAGGTGGTGAGGGGAGGTGGAGACGGGAGGTGGAGACGGGAGCTTAGACCATATTTGGTCAAAATTCGGCCACATTAGCATGTTTATTTTTAATTCATTTATGGTGGTCTCTTTTTAGACTTCCAGGAATGCAATGTTACAAAACATTAATATCCAGTTTTCGATTCATTATCTGTTTGAATGTTAACTTTTGTTTTTACATTCTTCTGTATTTACTTCCTGCAGGAGGAAGAGGAAATGGAGTCACTGTTTCAAACTAAGGTTAGGGAAGTTTTTTTTAAAATGTCCATCATTTAAACAAATCAAGTCTAACCTTGCAATCGGACTTATAACATATATAGCCGATATAGGCGGAGTTTTAACCAATCTTGTGAACGCGAAGAAGATCATAATATCTGCTGCTACATTTCTTTTTACCTTCCATGTCACTATTTACCTATGAATTCGCAGGGACTCATTATTATTGGCCACTTTAATTCGGACTTAGTTGTTAGGAACTTACCTTCAGCCCACTTACTGATTCATCTAGGAAGCTTCAGACCAGCCTCTTCGTGAGGTTCTTAGGAAATTTAACATCCAGATGATAGTCTCCTAATCGAGCCGGGACACTTGGGACCAGGCTCTTCGTGAGCCAGGACACTTGGGACCAGGCTCTTAGGAGCTTAACTAAGGGCAATAGACTTCCTAATCGAGCCAGGACACTTGGGACCAGGCTCTTCGTGAGCCAGGACACTTGGGACCAGGCTCTTAGGAGCTTAAC